TGACAGAGAGAATGATGTATTGATTTTTTCTGTATTTATTTATTTCTCTGTCCTGACAGGTCTTTTAAACGCTTAGAAACGTAGTCTGAGAAAAATGCCAATAATCACAGCCTTTGAGGAAGAAGCAGTTAATGAATCTCCAAGGAAACATCCAAAATACAGATGTTCTGTGGGGGAGAGAAGGTTAGGAGCCAGCGGAGCAGGGGCTGGAGACAGTACATCATCTCGGGTACAAGACAGAAGCTGTTTGCTGATAACATAAGATAGTAAAATGACAAACTTGTGGGCTGATTTGCTCAAGGCTGCTTTTTGAGAGCCCATTTCAAAAAGTCGTGATTTGAGATTTGTCCACTTCTATTTGAGATACTTTGGTTCCGCTTTGTTAGAACGAAAGCATTAGGTTTTTGCAGATTTTTAATCATATTAAGGATTGAAACCCTCAGGGGAAGTTTCACGTATGGGGATGTAAATTCAAACCACGTTAGAAGTTTAAAGAATATATATTAGGCTCAAATTCAACTTCTATTTTTAAAGTTAAAAGGGACCTAGCACAATGGCAGGCCACAAATTTGGATGTCTGTTTTATAATATTTTAATAGAGCAACAGAAACTGATAAAACTTTGAGGCTTTAGTTAAAGTAGAATATTTAAGCTCCTTAGGTAAAAGGATATAGATGTACACTGAAGAGCGTTCACAGAAAAACAACAGTTATTTCCAGCCTGAAGTGACTTTTCTTAAAAATAAAAGCAGCCAAACGTGCGTTATCTTGGGAGGCTGTGAATCAGCACCTGCAAATACCAGCGGTACGAGAATAACCAGGAATGGAGGAAAACTCAGCTCAAAGAAAACGACTGAAAAGAAAGAGTGGAAGGGGCAACCTCATACTTGCAAAGGACACTGTTCACTTAAGCCATCAGGTCATTCTCTGTTCTGGATTGATTTGCAGGATCTCCTTTCCCGCAGCCAGCATGTTTCACTTCACCGCAACCCTCTGCGAGGAGCGTAAGAACAGGAAAGGGGGAGTTAGTGCAGGTTGTGCCGCGCGGGTGTACGAATGTGAGCTTCAGTAAAGAGGGAGGCAGTGCTTACACGAGGCAGGGTGTGAATGCCATAAAGTGGATGGGGCAAAATTGGTTTGGGAAGTGCAGCCCCATGCATTCCTCCTGGGTGTGCTTGGGAACCAATGCTGAGATTTCTTGTGGGCTGTAAAATAGCTGTTTCCAAAACTGACTACCTTGTTTGTATACGAGTTTTATAGCAAACAGAGCTGTTACTGTAAAAGTGAGAGGTGAAATTGTAGTGTGCTAGCTATGGAATTTAAAATACCTCATTTTACACTCTCTTGCCTTGGATTTACAGTAGGAGAGAGAGGGAGTGTGGGCAGGTAACCTGGGGTGGGTGCCGAAATGAGAATTCGTTCCTCCCTGAGGAAGCTTTGGGGTTATGCGTAGGTAGCAGGAACCTCTGCGAGAGTGTGTTGGTAGTGAACATCCTTGAATCTTAATTATTGGAATTAAGGAAGGATGATCAGAAAACTCTGTATCTTGATCTGCTGCATGCTGTGCTCTCATAGGGAGGCTAATTCACATGCTGATGCCCTTAGCGGGAAGTAGCCATGGGACTTCGGCAAGGTGACTTACAGCGATGGGAGGGAATACTGTACTGAACAAAACGCCTTGACTCATTCGGCTTCCTAGAACATCAGTCTTTGGCTGTTGTCTTCATTTTGGAAATCTGGTGAGTTTTGGCTAGCACTTAGAAAAGGTAAAAAGGTCTATAGAGCTTCTTGGCTGCTCAGCGGTGACCATAAAATGATTTTTAGCATTTTAAGTACAGAGGGGAGATGCAACCAACCTGACAAAGCAGTCTTGAGCTGATTAAAACATGCATACTGGCAGTCCATCCATCAGTGAAATCCAAATTCTGCTGAATTTGCAGTTCATATTGTTGCTAATTTTATGATGTAGATGCTCTTCCACTGGGAATTGGATTGAAAGAAGCAAGTCACTTGCTGTGGATGCTGACAGGTCTGCGTATAGGAGCTCGATCAGTCTCCGCTGGATTGGGTTTTGTGATTGCAGCCGATATTGCTGCTTCGTGAGAAAGAATGAGTTTTAAATAGGTAGCAGTGAAGATCCATGTGTCCTACTTAAAGCTGTTTAGGTAATCGTAGCAAGAACACAGGATAAGAAGATCCATGCCCCAGATAGACTTGCACAAAGATGTTCAGGAAAACCTTGTCTGCTATTTCTGGTCCTGTTATTAATTCCTACTCCTAATTACATAGTGCCTTAAAATGGGCCTGCTACTGTAATAAGTGATGTTCTTATATTTCCTTTTATTCAGTGGAGTAAAAATAGTTCACTTGGCTCATGGGCTTTATTTAACTGAGCGCTAATGCAGAGTTGTGTTGTAATATATTGCAGAAACAGTAGTTCCTTTGTACCAGTCCTATAGAGCTTTCTCTTCTCTACTGACATACAGTAAGTATGATTGGGATCCGAGTAAGTGGTGTGATAAAAGGCCTGATGGTACCTCCTAAAAACAAACTGCTGCCCATTAAATTAAACGATGATGATTCTTAATGGACTAGTGAATCCTCTGCAGTCCATTTGGTACAAGTAAGGAAGTCTAGAAACGCGAGACCTTGCCACAGTATACTTGCTACGCTTGCTTCTGTACATACTGGGATTATAAAGTAGGTACAATAGGGCGTTTTGCTAGATGGCATATCATTATAAGCACAGAGCTGATCCTCTACCAGCAAAGGAGGCTCTACTGTGAAAGCTCAATTAGGTGGAAACCCTAACCTACCTTAGGCTTTTTCATTTTGCCTTTTAAATGAACTGCTTTTAGAGCATTACATGTATCATAGTTGAAGGAGTAATCATGGCAAACTTGAAGCAGATGTATGTGCAGTTCTCAAATTGTTTGTCTTTACTGATGCTAAATTAGCTCTTTCAGTTCTGGGTATTTGACTGTGCTTTCCTTGTCTCTTAATTCAGTTTGTCTACAAAAAGCTCGTGTTTGATGCCGAGCTCCTTTTGTCTTGGGAGAATTATTCATTCTTCCTCTTTCCCCAGCTTTGAAGAAGAACCAAAACTTTAACGAAGCAATGTGAAACTGAAGCAATCTTTGCGATTTCCTTTAATTGAAAACTACTGCCAGTATGAAAATCCTGGCTAGCGATTAAAGGAATGTGACAGCTTTGCCAGTCGTTACATAAATACTACAGGGCTTCCTACTGTCATTAGCTGCAGTGAACACAATGGAGCTATACACAGGAGCGAGCACTACTCTGATGATAAATGTTTGCATTTCTTATTAGTGCTGAACTGTTGCAGCATTTCCCCCTCAGTCTAATTGAGGCTTCTGGATGGCTTCATCAGCTAACGATGCTCGTGTTGTCTTCTTGCTCTGTAGTTTCCCAGCGAGAAAGGAGTTGAATGAGTTTCGCTCTTAAGAACGTCGGTTTCCTCTTTGCAGGTCTCTGTCTTGGTGCCTCTTCTCCTCAGAAAAACTCACCTTTTACAGGTTAATGCAAACTTTCTGCTATTTTACATACTGTGGCTCTTTGCTAACCATTGCATTATGGTGTCCTCTGTGCGTGTGGGATGTTGTTGACTTGACCTGACAATGTTCTAGTTTTCTGACGTATTTCTTACCCCCGCCCCCATTGCTAAACGGCAAATGTCAAATCTCTGCATTTAACAAGGTGTACGCATACATGCTGTGTTTTTGCAAATACCTATGTGTATTTAAAACACGAATACATTGTACTGGGAATTAATCCACATTAGGGGATAGTGGGGCTTAATTCTAAGCCCTGTGCTCTATGTTCATCTTCTGGATTGGAAACTTTTGAGTGGAAAAATGATTAATGATTCAGCTGCTTTCAGTTGCTGTTGCTGCTAACGTGCAGTTTGGACTTAGAGCCAAGTAACTTAGGTGGAGAGTAGCAGGGGTGTGTTTAACTGTGTGTGTTAATATATTTTCTTTATGCTGCATCTAGTCATTTCCGCTGGAACACAGATTTCCTCCAGGAAACCTGCTTATATGGGCCTTGGGTATGCTTTAACATAAGAGGCCTTTATTTTTCCCACCCTGCTTAGCAAGCTCCAACTCCAGTCACTACTTTGACTTGTGTGGTTGAAGCCCTGCCTTCCTGTGAGCAAAAGTGGAACCAGAGCCAAGGCTGCTCCATACTGCGCTGGGAAACGGAGCCTGTACTGACATCTGCAACAGCGAACTTGCTTGTTCAGGCATGTAGCTGGGGGAGGGGAGACAGCACTTCTGGAGATGGGGAAATAAGGAGGATGATTTGTGGGCTGAGAAGTTTTAAAAATGATACTCTTGGTTCCTTCTGTCTCAGCTTGAATTTTCTTTTTTTTTTTTTTTTTTTTTTTTTAAAACAAGTGTGGATGCAATTTATTTCTCTTGGGCTGTTTAAAAGCGCTGTTAGAACAGGGTAAACGCTAGGTCAAAATGAGCAGGCTGCTGCCCGGGGATGGGAACAGATGGAGCTGGTCTCTGCAGCTCTCAAAGCTTGGGCTACCCGACTGGAGCACAAGTAAGGTGAATTCATCATGTATTCCTGGTACTTGGGCATAGCTGGCATTGACTGCGAAATAGTTATTGTTTGACACTGCCAGTTATTCGTGAAACAACAGAAGCTGAGTTGAAGCATGGCAATTTAAGTTGGCGTTGCCTCTGCAGTTTTGGATTCAAACCTAATCTGGTGGAAAGGGCTTGACCTGCCTCAGTGCTACTGAAACCCTCTGTGTGTCTGGATTACTGTCACAGCAGTCATGCATGGGCCCACACTGTGGAGGCTGGCGAAAGCTGGGCCTTGGTTATTTAAAACAAAACAGAAAGAAGCTTCCTTAACTTGAGTGAAGGGAGAACTCTGCTCTGTTGCTAGGAATCAGGCGGTTATAATTAGTCTGTTCTTCTTTAGAAGCATATCTGTGCAGTACGATGGGTTAGCGAGTATATCTGCCCAGGAAGAGATTTTGCAGATCTCCTCCCCAGAAGTAGTGCCCACTGCAGTGGGGTCCGTGTCGTCCTGCAAAATACAGGCTGGGGAATCCCACCCGGCAGTTCTTGCGTTTAGTCCAAACAGTTGGGGTTGAATTAAAGGCTTTTTTTAAAAGGACCCTCCAGTCTTTCGGCTTTTAAAATTCCGAGCCATGGAGTCTTCCAGCATTCCTGTTGGGTTGTAACTGGTCAGTCATCCTTTATGTCTAGCACTATGGAAATAATGCTGGCAGTGGAGCAAGACTGCAACCAGTAGTTGGCCATCTGCCATGAGAGGGTGTCTCCCCCCTCCTCACGTCCACCCACTCCAGCTGTAGCAGTGGATACATTCTCTTCTAAATGTGTACTTATTTTTAGTGATTATTGTTTCATGTAATTTAGCGATTTCATCTGCACCTCTGGGTGTTGGCAGCACCTGCAGGGGTCTAACAGGTAAATTCTAAAGATAGATGAGCAAACACTGCTGTTTTGTAATTCTTTATTTATTAGAACTTTATGAAAACCTGTTGGTTTGTTTGTTTTTTTTTTTTTAATTCACATGTAAATGTTGGGTCTGGGCTGATGCATTGATGGCCCTTGACTGTTTTTTGTTTAATTGGCACACTTGCACAGCACTCAGATGTGCAGTAACTGGCTGGGGAGACAGCTAGATGCTACAGTTCCTGTTTTTTCTTTTTAATTGCCTCTAAATGTGACGATCAGCCCTCCCTCAGGGTGTGTGTATTGCTGCTGCCCTTTTCTGTGACAGCATGTGTCCCAGGTCCCATCCGCTGTCAGGTGGAGGAAAAGGACAGCTCTTGCCTCTTTTTGAGGTGGAACATGTGTGGGGTGCCTTTCCTTCAATGTGAGACTGTGTTTGAGACTTAGTCCCACATAAAGTAATAAAGAAAAAACGAACGAGTGTCTTTTTATCCTGTGTCGAAACCCAGCTGGTAAACTCTGCTGTTAATTTTCTGCTGGGATTTGGATGAAAGCACGGCACACGGGGAGGGAATCTGCTGCTTGCAATGTGTTTGAGCAGAGCAGGGGACGGCCCCTGCTCCTTCCCACCGGGACAGTGCAAGGAGGAAGATGGAGATTTTAACTGTGTGTGTGCAGGAGCAAACTCTAGTGGAAGGGTGCAGGGATAAAACACTGTTCCGATCAGGATCAACTCAACTAAAGGTCAAGACTCCTGCCTTTTTTGTGGGCAAGACACCCTTTCCTCACGCTGGCAACAACAGAAAAATAGCATCCTGGAAAAATGTGAGATTTCCTTCTGGTAGTAGGCAGAGACGGAAAAACAGTTGCTGAGCATCTCCCTCTCCCCTCTCTTGTTTAATATAGTTTATTCATCTGTAAGTTGTAGTGAGTAACTTACAGCCACTGTCTTGCCAGACTGCATGAATTATAGATAGCTCTTTTATGAGTTTTCGTGTTGACTCCAGCAATTAGTATGCGTTGGACATAGTTATCTTTATGGCATCTATAGTAGTGTAGGTTTCAGCTCCTCTGACTTTTTAATTGCTTTCTGTTTTAGCAATCAGTCATCTGCCTGTCTTGCTAAGGAATGCAAAGAAAACACAACCAGCTTGGTAGAATCTTATAGTTCAGTGTGGAGCATCAAGTTTGAAATGGTGTGGTTTACCAGAAGGAAAAATTACATAAATAGAGGATCTTTTTTCTGTTTTTTTTTCTTTTTTTTTTTTTTTTCTTTTTCTTTCGCACATGTGTGTGTGACACACAGTAGTGCCAGAAGGCTCCACATATGTTGGGGTCCCACTCTGCTGGATGAATGGCTCAGGAGCCTGTGCCCGTATTACAGGAAAGCTACAGGCATAAACTTCATGATTTAAAGCCATATCTACTTAATGCAGATCAGCAGACCTGCGTGGATCTTTGCACGTCTGTGTACTCTGAACTCTTGGTCACCGCTGTCAGCACCTGTGGGTGCCATCTTCTGTTCAGTACCTCCGCTTGCTCTGTCTTGAACGGCCAAGTGGTTTCCTGAGTCTCTCCTCCCCTTGTGTGTGGTTGTCTGTCAGTCCTTCCTGTCTGCAGAAGTGTTTTGTAGGTGTGAAAGGAGAGTTTGTCAGGTCTGCTGTTCGATTCTGGGCTGGGATAATCTAATTTAGCTAACTTTTAGCTTCAAAAGTTGATGGGAAGGAGCAGGGAGCATTTGAAGGCCACTGTAACTTGACTTATGGCAGTCACAGGTTGCAGTATGTAATAAAATTTTTATTTTCATAAGTACTGTGTGGTGAAACAACTCGAACTTTCAGTACTCCCAAACGGCTGCAGAAACAATAGTCCTACATCACGACTATGCCTTCCTAGTGGTGTCTGTGGGGTTTGGTTTGAGTGCTGGTATTTTAGTATATATAGTAGTTGAGAATAATTGTGTCTGCAGCTAAAACATATTCCCTCATCTGACTGCAGTTGAAAAGTTCATGTGCTGTTTCATTGCTTCCACTGTTCACTTAATCATACCATGGAAACATAAGATTAATTTCTCAAAGCAGAGTCGTGCTGGTGTGAAGAAGGAAATAACTTGGTCCGGTGACGCCTTGCGTTCCTGTTAGGATGGATCGCACCGAGCAGAGTGACTCACTTCACTGGCGTAGTGCTGATGTTATGCCGGCTGGTGAAGCAATTGCCTGGTGCTCTGAATTTGAGCAGGGCCTACACAAGGAGGGTTGTTTAAAGCCTGCTTACATGTGAATTGGCAGGAGATTATTTTAGGAAGAAGAGAATTTGCACAGTCAGCTAGGCTACGGTGAGGGAGACGGCTGCCCTCTGTAACCGCTCGTATAGCTCTGGTATCACTCTCAGCTCTGCTGCAGAGCCCTGGAGAGGTGGGTGTAATTCTGTCGGGAGAGGGTTTCATCCACATACTTTGAAGCCAACATAAGTTTAAAGTTTAAACGATGTTGGGTTTGGGGGTAAACTGTCTCTATCACTGGGAGAAATCATGTAAGCAGGTTTTTTGTTTTCCCTTTAAATATATAGTGGGAAAAGGCTCTTGGGAACACTCTAGGATAGCGCTGCTGTTACAGGGGATAACTTCTGTAGAACCAGTTCTTAATCTTTTGGATTTAAGGATTTCTAACACCCCCCCTCTCCAGAGAGATGAAATATCTGTTGTAACTCCAAACATAAGACTTTGATGAGGAGAAAGGTCTGGGAGCTTGAGTGATGGAGAATAAAGGAGAGGGCGTACTGTAGGCTTTGCCCACATGAAAGTTGCAGTTATCAAATAGGTGTAAAACAATATTGTTTGTTAAACGATGTAACTTCTCAACAGTTACTTGGTCATTCAGGGAATAATGTAAGATAAACAAGAGCTTGTATTGCCAGTGTTTCTAGCCCTGCGGTAAAACAGCAATTCGCTTGCGCTCTATCCTTTCCGACTGAGGGATTTTGAAAAACCCTCTTATATTGAAGAAACTGTGAGCAGATGTCCCTGGGGTTTTGCACTGGTGGAACTGAGAGTGAGGATGCTTGACATCCAGAGGTTTTTCTTATGTTTTCATGGTCTTTTTTTGTTTTTTTGCTTATGTTCTTTTTCCTTCCCCCAGCGCTAGGCCAGCCTCTGCCTGTAAACTGGGGGGGGTTTCTTCCTCTTCTCACTTCTTTTTCTCCAGCCTGGAGCTACATGCTGCTCTGTTCTCTTCCTTGTACCACCCTTCGGTCTGATGTTGCATCCATTCCCCCATACACTAAACATTACTCTGTCCCCTGCTTAGTCCGGTGCTTCTGACAGCAGGTCGCAAGCACTGATTCTCACCTGCTCACCTCTCTGCTCGGTGGGAGAGGGACCCGGCAATGAAGCAGTCTCCCCTGCCATCTCAGCCACGCCTGCAGCTCCAGGAAGTCTGGCCGGTGGGGGAGTCTTTGGATGCACCTTTATTCAAACCCCTGTGGGTGTAAACCAGGGTGTTACAGCAGCAAATGTGGTGCCCGCTCCTGGGGGAGGGCCGTTTGGCAGGCATAGAGCTGCTAACATTCATTCTCCTTCTGCTTCCTTATTTGCAGCATATTCCTATTTAACCATTCTGATGGTTAAATAAGCATCAATGCAAAGAACGCAGCTCTTATGTGGCACTTCTGCTTATGTCGTTTCAAATGCTTTAGTTGTGCCAGTTCAGTACCAGCCACTGACACTGCAATGTGCAAAGCCCATCAGTGAGGCCTCAATATCTTCACGTTGCACAAAATATGTGCGCAGCAGTGGCTGCCAAATTCACCAGTTGGGTTTTAGTTTAGACTTTTTTCCACTGCTTAGACAGGGAGAGTAGTTGTTTGCATCACTTCATGGCTGGCACTCCAGCTGTCACTTAGTTCTACTCCATTTTATACTGGAGAATGGCATGAGGCTGAAGCATGAGTGATGGGAGATGCACAGGGCACATGCCAGAACACACCCAGACAAATGCACAGCTAATTTCCCCCCACCCCTCCCAAGCGCCAAAAGTGTCCCACCATTAAAATGAATACCCCAAATGCTAGTCTGTCATTTAAAATTCCGTTGCACAGTTGTGTTGGGAGGAAGCAGGGCTGGGGGCAAACCTCTTACAAAGCTCCCTGTGCGTGTAGCCTTATAGGCTGTGCAGTGCTGCCAGCCCTCCTGTTTAAGAGTGAGTGTGAAGAAACTGGGAACCAAGTAAGTGGAGAAGAAAGTGGAGCTGCAGACCAGCCACGGCTTGGTAGGCGACAGCTGGGGAACCGCTGCTTTCAGCAAAGTCTAACATGTTGCGACTCTGTGCCTTCTGCAGGCAGCATTTGCTCTTCTTAACTCCCTGGAGCTGCGAGAGCAGTGTGCCCTGGGTCCAAATCTTTCCAGTTAACACTGAGCATCACTAGCTTGGCCAAAGAAGACTTTGAAGACTGGCAGGGCGGTGTTGTGTAGTCGTAGGATCGTCGTGTGGTTGTGGGATCTGTTTGGAGTGTGACCCAGTGTGGTTCCTCTGAGTCTGGCCTATGGAAAAGCAGCTCCCTGGAAGCCAGCAGCGATCTCAGATCTCAACTTTGAAACCGGACTTCTCACTTGCAGAGACCAAAACGCTTTTGACTTTCTGCCACCCAATAATTCTCCCTGAACGAAACATATTCCCTTACTGCTTGTGAAAATCGTAAAGCTGTTGAACTGCTTTTTCCACCCAAACAAAAACTGTTCCTGCTTTGGTCTTTGTTCTGCAGTTAACTCCCAACTTTCTTTTGAGAACATAATGCAGACAAATTCCAGTTTCCAGAAGGATCTCTGCAGCCAGGCTGTGTTTGGAGTAATGCTGATCTCATTTGGGTGGAACAAGCTAGTTGTGGCAGAATAATCTATTACCCTGTTCCAAAGCTTCAGTCTTTAAATCCGCACAGCAGGGATTATTTACTTAAGGATTTATGTGTGTGTTGGGGATCTAGTTTTGTTTGACCCTTCCAACAGAACAAAATGCAGTCAACTTTCCAGTAGTTTGAATTGTGCCTGAAGTGTGCCACTACCATGGAAAGGCCAGGGCTGGGTTGGGACCAGCGAGGGCTGTGGCACTGCATGTGCGGTGACGTGGGTACAGCTCTGCGGCTTCCCGGCCATCTCTGCCTCTGAACCAGTTCAGCAGCTTTTTAGCAAAGGAGCCTGAGTGGCTGCATTGAAACTCTTTGTGTGCAAACTTCAGTCTTTCTGCATCATGCTGTGCTGGAGACTGATACAAACATTTTGACATAGTTTTTAGTGGAACTAGCATGGATCTGAGAGGTTGTATGAGCTCAGCAACTTGTTGGCTCCTCTTGGGTATCTTTGCTACATGGTATTTACTGCTCTTTCCCCCCACCCTACGCTTCTGCTCCATGGTTTGCTTGAGAATTTGCTGTATCCTGAAATAGGCTTTTCTTGATGATCAATAACTCAAACGCTTAAACATAGTCTTGTTACAGAAAAAATTTGGAGCTTGAGTAGAATTTGTCTCACTGACACTTGGTCTGTGTTGATATGAGGTTAGCGGCTAGTCTGCAAATACCTGCATGTGGTTTATCTGACTGTGTGTGATTCTAGTTTACAATAAATAAATAAAGCTTCTTACTTCTTTTTCCTATTCCTAGTAACGGCCTCCCCAACTGAAGATGTCTAACAATGGAGTTGAAACAGAAGACAAACCGCCTGCTCCTCCGATGAGAAATACCAGCACTATGATTGGATCGGGAAGCAAAGATGCTGGGACTTTAAACCATGGCTCAAAACCTTTGCCTCCCAACCCGGAAGAAAAGAAAAGGAAGGACCGATTTTACCGATCTATTTTACCAGGAGATAAAAGTATTTTGTCTCTTCTTATAAACCTCCTGTGTGAATGTTGCTCTGAATGACCTTAGTTAAGCACCTGAGGTTTTAGAAAACATTGTTTGTTTGTTTCCTGCACAACTGTCTTGGTCATTTTGGGGTACATGAGGTGCTGGCTGTAGATCTGTTTTTTCTAATGATTAATCCTGCCACATTTAATCCATCCTGTTTACTCTGTTTTGTGCCTTTTTTTTTTTTTTTTTTTCCTTCCCCTTGAATTATGAGAACAGTGTCCCTGAATACTAGGACTAGCTCTGCCACTTCCCAGCCTGACTTGTCCTTAATGATCTTGAAAGACATAAATTTTTGTACCAATTACAAGCTGGTCATTTGAAGCTGGCATTGGCAATTCCTTTGGTGGGGAGCAAGGGGAGTTCTTTTGCTTGCTTGTTGTTTTAAACAGCAAATAATTTGAGTTAAGCATGACTAACAGGCCATCTCCTGCCAGGCCTGTCATATGTCACTGCACGGTCACTTACTCCGTTCTACTGTTTGGGTCAGGCATTGTCTACTTGCTGTTAAGAATAAGCTGTTACTGCAAGTTTTTGCACATTTCTTGTGAACTGAAGGAATTTTGTCCTGTTATAGGGACTGTAACAGATGGAAGTGGAGATAGGAACTGTGAACTGTATGAAATTCTAATTTTTAAGATCAGGATATTTTAAAAACCTCTATCTCTATCATATGAGTCTTTTGAACTGATGTAAGAAAAAAAAATCTCCATCCCCTAATATGTGCTGGTTTCTTTTTATATCTGACCTATTTTTTGGAGTTCCTCTTTCTAATACAGCAGCTTTTTGTAGAGTCTGCATTGCAATGGTATCTGGACACCGGATAACTAAAGTCAAGCCTAGGTATCTTCAACTTCCTGGGCTTCAGGAGGGAGGCTGCCTCCTTAATTTTTGTTAGCGAAAAGTCTAATTGGAGTGATACTTCCACTAATTTACATAAGCAAGATCTAGGTTCATTTTCTACAAAATATTGCAGCATTCGTTATTATTATTCTATGATACCTTCAGCAACTTTGGATTGTTGTACAAACATGGATTTTTGATTCTGCAATCCAGAAACCCATGAACTCCATGTTAAAAGTTTGCTGGATCTCAGTTAGAACTTGCCATTACTAGTATTAATCCTAAAGAGCTGCAGGATTTTTGTGTTGGCTTACTTAAGGGAGTGGGGTTTTTAAACCTCTAGGCTCAGCAGTTGCAGAGAACAAAGAAATCACCTGAAATTTGTAAGAGAGTAAAAGAAATACAACCTGAAATGCTAGTTTGAACTGGATTTTAAAGGAGAGCTGCAAAAGTGAACGGTTCGGGTAAAATCAGCAGACAGGCTGCTACTGATTTGAAGATGCCTGCACTTACTGAAGATTAGCCAACATGGCAGATGCTTCGAGACATGAGAGATTTTTGTTTAGCCAAGCCCAGCAGAGCCTTCTGTTGCAATACACCTGCCCAAACGAGAATGGTTGCTTCTGTCCTCTAATTCCTGTCAAGCAAAAAATACCTTTAACACTGTCACCTTCGCTTCAGATTGATTGATTGATTTTCATCTTATGAAAACTTCTTCTAATCTCATGATGACAATTAAATTCGCAGTGCCTCCTGCTGCTTAAATGTTAATGAAATTCCCAGGTTTGTGCCTGAAATAATTTGGGTGTTGTTTATTAGTTTGGCTGGACTAAATGGGGAGTTGGTTTCCATTCAGTTAGAGGAATGTAATTTTGGGCAAATCCATGACCTTTGGATCCTTACCCAGGGAAGCCAGTGATTTGGGCTTAACCTCTGCTGGGGTTGCAAAGAGCCTGCGAGGATCTGAAATGCTCGGTGGTTAATTTTGCTAGCAAATATGGATATGGGCTTTTATGCTGTAGCCTGAGAGCTGCTGAAGTTGATGCTGTAAATCCCTTTGGAGAAGTGGTACCTCTTTACTCTGGGCAGGGAACAGTACTGGAGTAGGCACTTTACGAAGGATGGGTGGCAAAGATGATGAAGAGGTTGTGCTTTACGCAAAGCTGCAGCTCAATCACATGGAGTCCTGCCGTGGAGCAGACAACAGACCTGTTGAGAGCTTATGGGTCCAGATCAGAGTGGAGGCCAACAAGGGGAGACATCTTGAGGGCATCTTTTAGAGGTCGCTGGGTCGAGAAGGGCAGTTCTAGCTTGAAGGTGCTTTGGAACGTGTCTTTTCCATTGTGCTACCCCTGTGCATGAACAGAGCCGTGGTATAAAGAACACACGGGGCTTAAATCCTGGGCCTCATACATGTTTGCGCACTTCCATTGAGCTATGTCCCCTTGCCAGGCTGCTCTGGAGGTGGCATGCTCTGCCTGCAAAATTTAGGATGTAATTTATAGTCCTGATTTCCTCTGTCCCAGCCTAAATCCCAAAACTGGTATTTAAAAAACCTGTCGGCTTAATACCAGGTGGGCCCTATCCAAATGGATGCAGAGCTTGTGTGACTTACTGCTTTCAACAGGAGTTGTGAACATCTGAAGTTTCTTGGGCTCAGGGCTCGTCAGTGTCCTAGTTGAGGGTATGAGTTTGGCCTGAATGTGGCACATTTAGCTCCTCTGAACTTTGCTGAGCTCAGCTGCAGCTTTGCACAGAAGCAGGGTTTTACCCACAAGGTGACAGTTTGCAGTGCCCGGGAGCCCTTTCAGTGGTGACATGAGGAGCACTTTACTCAATCTTACCAGTGGAGACAACCTTTCTCTCCTCAGTATGCTTCAGGATGGGCTCACGGGCTTACTTTACATGGGACATCGTGCTTCCTAGTTGCAGCTCAAGTTGCCAGAGCATCATAAGGAAACTTTATGGGTGGCTTTTGTAACAGCATCAAACGTGTGAGGTTTTGAATGAGAAGGTGGTAAGGTGTTTGTGGAAATAAAGCCCTTGGTGGTAGCTGGGCCTTCTTAATCAGATATATGATTTGTCTTTTATTTTTTTTTTTAATTTAAGATTCCTCAAGGCTTTTGACTCACTGCAAGGATAATATAATCACTGTAGAGGGGGAATTAAGTTTTAGCAAAATTGGGAGTGCCCATCTCTTTAATTCTTTTTGTCTTATACCTCCTACTATGATATAAATATCTGCTGCAAAAAGCAATTATGTTATTAATGGTTTAATACGTTTAGGCTTTTAGATCTGTCAGATTTTGGATCAAAAGCTTCTGAAGTTCATTGTCCTCTGAGGCTGCTGGAGGAAAATCGCTGAATTCATGTGCCAGCTTCATGTGCGATCACATGATGGTGAACTCAGTCTGGGCGCTATAAAACCCTGAGTGTGGCAGGCAGGCAGATTTAAAAAAGCATACAGAGCAATTATGGTTTCACCCGCTGTAACGTCATCGCTAAGGCAATGTGATTTTTGTGTGAGTTTGTGGTAGCTGTCCCAAAGAGTTGTTGAGAGTTGGGGAAAATGCAAAGGGCTGAGAAGCTGTAAGAAATGTTTGCAGGAAGCTAAGATAATTAGGAGAACATTAACTGCTTTGGGGGTGTGAAAACAACATAAGCCATAAATGCAGAAAAATCTCTTCCTGTTTCTATATTGCACTGTAGCCATACTGAAACTCTCTACCTATGTGTTGAACACGAACAGAGAGCTGGAGTGTTGATGTGACAGAGGCCATTATGTTATTTAATCAGTCCCTCCAGAACTGTTTTTACTGCTCTGTGTAGCTGAGGCTCGTTCAGGCCATCGTCTCCTGCTGTGGATAAGTTAGCACTCAGCAATCATCTCAGTTTGCTGGTTGAATGGATACTGGAACGGTTGGTTGCAGAGAAGTTTGTTGGGATTTGGGTGTGTGGCAGGGAGCTCAGGCTGTCTGAATGTAGAAATCAAAAAAACACTTAAGTGTATTGACTTCTGGATAAGAACTTAATACCCTTTAGCTTTTTTTGGGGATACATTCAAATCTGCTGTGGCAGTCGTCCTGGACCATGTGTGGGTGTGCAGTGCGGCACTCCTGCATAGTGGTGCTAGTACAGGTGCCCTCTTCTTCCTCACCTGAGGAAGGGCTTCTAGGCTGAGATGACACCTTACTCTTTGGCTTGGAGAAATGGACTGATCCTGTAGACAGGCCTATAGAATATGGTGCCTCTTATGCATCTCTTTTCCTCTTGCTTTCCATCCACTGCTAGTGCATGCAGCTTTTTCTGTATACCTGCTGGATGCAGCTGTTTGTTCCTTCTTTGGCAGGCCTCGGTGCTGCAAATGCTCACCATCTGCTAACCAGCAGCTGCTTCTGTCTCCTCCTAGCTCTCCCCTCTGTGATGGCTCCTCCAGGATGGTGGCTTTCTCTCCTCCAACCCCTTGGCAACTCTGCCGCTCTTCTGCAATTCAGCTTCCCCTATCCCCTTTCTTTGAAAGAGGGATCAAAAACAATCTGTTCCATCTTTGTGTCCCAAATGGAGCATCTGATCCTTTTCTTTCTCCAAAATTACTCTGTGCAACAGTAACTCTGTAATGACACAGAGAATAGTCCCAGAGCTGGCACTGAAGGAAACAGGATTCGGTCCTCTGGGGCAAGCTCTGACCACCTTGATGCAAGTAACCACCAGCAGTGGCTTAAATAATTGCGATATTGAGCATTAGCCTCACAGGTTTCTGAAATACCTGGGGTTTGGCATTCATGTTGCCAAAAATGCACAGGGGAATGTCAGCCACGAAACAAATTCTTTTTGGCTTTAGATACAAAAGGTATCAACTGGGAAACTTAAGTGGTTTAGTGACCTTCTCCCAGCTCTGCTTATTTTATAACTGCAAGCAGCAGCAAATCCAAGTAGAACGTGGTTCTTCCTTAAACTGATCTCAATTTCTTGAATACATTAAATATTAAAAGGAAGGTGGAGTCCTTAATACGTCATGAATATGGATGAACTTAATCCAAGGCATAATGATAATCTTCTTGTTTGAAGACCTGACTTGAAAATTTGCAGGGTGCATCTGCTTTGATTTATTTCCTTTCCTGTTTCTTCATGACTTCTGCTCCTCACCTGCCAGATTCTGCCCTCTTGCTCTGCATCTTCAAAGCTTATTATTAAAACCACGTTTAGTTCATTTTGTGAGCAGGAAAATATAAATGGTTTTGCTCATACAAGATTTTGTAGCAGAAGCACACGTTATATTTGGTTTTTTCCATAAACTCTGTTTTGAGGATGTAAGATGAAGGAAGCAATTTATAAGTAGTATTTGTAGTTAATTTTGTCCTTGTCTTAATATGAGAGGCGAGTGTATATTTAACAGCACATAATATTTTTTTTAAAAGTTGCTTAAAACAATGAATAAAAAAAAGTGTTCAAAACTGCATGGCTCCAACTTACTGCCACTGTAGTACTTTTGACTCTGACCTGTATAAGTTTGAGTGAATATTTTAGGTAAATGGCTCTTGTGCTACTGAGTCTAGCCCTACCGGTTGATACTTGACATACCCAAAATGTCAATTTCCTTGGCTTACGCTTGTCGTGTGTTACAGCACTTTGATTTTTGTTGTCCACTCACTGTGGCTGCTCTTAAGTGAGGTAACAAAGTTTTTTTGCTGTTTGTCTGCCCCAGATCGAAATCCTATAACTAGCAAAAGGGGGGTGTGGTTGGGTAGGTAAATTGGAAGCTATTGGGGAGGTTTTAATTCTTGATGGATTTATGGATTTTTTTGTTGTTGTTGTCTCTTCCAGCCAATAAAAAGAAAGAGAAAGAGCGGCCGGAGATCTCCCTCCCTTCAGACTTTGAACACACAATTCATGTGGGGTTTGATGCAGTCACGGGAGAATTCACAGTAAGTGAATGTGGAGGAAGAGAGAACTGTGTGGTTTGGCTTATTGCTGGGAGGAGCCAGGACCCATTAATCTTTTATATAGTGATGCTGGAGAGGCTATTACCATCATCTAGTTTGATCTCCTTTGAAACACATCTGCAGAGGTTACCCACTAATTCCCACTGAGAGACTGTTTGTCAAACTTGGCACATCCCAGGAGCTCAGGCTGCCAGCAAACTTTTCCTTTCCTGTTTTTTTGGCTGATGTGGACACCAAAACATGGTATATCTCTCCTCCCTTCCCTTCCCCTCCTCTTCTAGAGCTGGGTTAGGTCTACAGCATAGTCTGTGTCTGCCAAATGGGGCTGTGAGAGTTCCCCTTTAGGGGAGACACAACTGTGCATAACTATTTATGACAGAATGTGTATGTGCTGTCCTAAGGCTAAATGGCAGATGCTTTTATGCGGTTTTTTTATTGACATGCAAAATACTGGGAAGACAGAGTTGTATTTCATCATATTTTTCTTCTTAATTTGATTATGAGATAGTGTTTAATAACAGTAGAAGTTGTTTGCGAGCAAGCTGGTTTTCGCTATCCTTATGCTTCTTTTTCAGGGACTTTGCTCTCCTAGCCTGAATCGTGTGTACAGTTGTGTTTTGCATGTCAGCCTCTAGACTTGCCCAAGTTAACCTGGATGTATCAGTGGGGCATTACCTGAGTGGTGTATCCAGCCATCCTTTTGAACAGGGAGGGTAACTTTATCAATAAAGGATCCCAGTTACTTGCCACTCCGTCTATACAAACTGTTATTCTTGCTGGTGGTGAAAGGCACAAGTAAGGTTGTACTCCAGATGTATTTCTTTTCTGGCTGAAATGATGTCCCTGTAACGAAATTCTGAGCTTCATATGTGAGGTTAACATCTCTGCTTTCCCAGCTCTGGTTACAATAGGCACCAAACCACTATTATCAAAGAACTCTAGTGCTACAGGAAGACCTAAATGAATGTTGTACGTTCATTGTCCTAGATGCTCTACAGTGCCTATTACTTCTATAGTCTTTCTTACATATATGTAAATATATGTGTACTTGTGCATAAAGGTTTTTTTTCCTTGAGGCTCTTGGTGAACTGCAGCACTTGGGTCTGCTCCTTTCTGTCTTTTGAGTTTTGGTCTTCAAAGGACCTGGGACTCACCCAGAGCCCTGTGAGCAGAGTGGCATTTACATGTCCATGTAAGAAACGTGTGACTTGTAACACAGACGGTGGCTAGGAAGGTATCGATCCACTGCCTCTTTTCTTTCCTCTCCTCTTTTCTCCCTATTTCCCTTACAGCACTGAGTAACCCCAGAAACTGTGGCAGAACTGCAACGGGTGGTGTGTGTGCTGTGAACAATGTTAGGCTGATTGTGAGCTGATGAGCTACATCTCTCCACAGGGAATGCCGGAGCAATGGGCGCGTTTACTGCAGACTTCCAACATCACCAAGTCAGAGCAGAAGAAGAACCCCCAGGCAGTGCTGGACGTGTTGGAGTTTTACAACTCAAAGAAGATCTCCAACAGCCAGAAGTACATGAGTTTCACAGGTACACGGTGATTGTCTCATATAGCTGCTTTGTCCAACTTTCAAGCAGCCTCTGCACGTGGGGTTTCTTTTGTTTAATCAACAAGTAGATCTGTCTTCTCAAGGAAAATGTGAATGAGATTCTCTGGCTGCTCAAGCACCCCTCTTCTTTTAAAATGCTGTTCTATTAATCCTGATGCCCAGTGTACCTGCAAAGGAGGAGGTCAGTCAACTGGCTAAATCCCAAAAGCACAGGTTTTCTGAAGCTTACAGCCAGCATCTGGAAGGCAGATCCCAGAGGGTTGGTGTTGGGTTCCCAGTGGTGAAAATCCCTGGAGAAAACAGGCAGCTAAATTTTGTACCAGTTTCAGTTTCTGGCATGGGTGTGGATGTTGCTTCATGCATGCTTGGGGTGAGGGTCTCTCTGCTCCTGTGTGCCGTGATTGAGGATTATGCCTCAGCTGCTAGGTGCTGGCTGGATTCCTCTAAAAATCAAAGCTGCCAAGGTTTTCTATGGATTACCTGCCTACTGGAGGACTCCTGCAACCGCCACTCCTTTTCCCTTTCAACTCTAACTCCTTCCCTTTCTAAATACTAATCCTTGCTTTGGTTCTTTTTAAGAGGATAGAGCCATGTCACTAGAACTGGTATTAATTAGGAAGGCTCCAGGCAGGGATAAAAGCACAAATCTTCCCCATATGTGCCTGGATAGTCAAACAAGAAGCCCACCAGTTAACTCATGGGGTCCTCTGTTGCTATTCCAGGAAGTTTAGGTGGCTGAGACATCTTGCAGGTCTTGGGCTAGCTGCAATGCCTCTGCCACTGAAAATATTTTGTGTATATGGATGGAGGACAGTATTCATTCAGGTGTTGCTCTGGGAAGTTCCGCCCTCCTGGCAGGGATTTGGGACCTCTGCATTCCTCTGCAGAATTTTTTACCCTTTATTCCCGTATCTGCCAGGTGTCAGCTTGTTCTGGGGAGCTGAAGGTAATGCCTAGGTTTGGGAGCAGCTTTTTTTCCTGCCCCTTCCGAAGGGAGCTTGTCACTTTCTCCTCTCCCCACTGCTGCTGCGTTTACAGCTCATTTATAGTGGCATTACTATCTGTCTCTTTCAGATAAATCGACAGAGGATTACAATTCATCAAACACGTTGGTAAGCCTTATATTCACATTTTGTCTCGAGTTTGGAGATTTAAAAACTTGCATAAAGTAGTTAACTACATGTAAACTTTTAGTTTGCTTAGTGTTTTAAAATCTGAACTATATGTATTTGTATAGTGAATACATGGTTATAAAAACATGTATTTTCACTTTTTTTTTCAACTGGGGGAGAATCAAGTAGGTAGGAGTAGCTTTTATTAGTGAATAGTGATATAGAAATTAGTGAATTAATGAGTAGAAATAGTTCTGTTTTCATAAAAGTTGATCTGTTCCCGTACCTAGAATTGATAACTGCTCTGCTTTCAGGTTTTATGTGTCTCTATAAACATCTGTGATATAACGAAGTTTAATTACTAACCTGCAAGGTCTGATTGACCAAAACTAATGTTGATTAGTGTTGATTAACCAAACTAATCTCCAGCAGAAAAGGAAATATAAGGTTCTCCTCCTCTCTGCTTGACCTTTACTCCTGTTCTTACCAGGGCAGGCACCACTCCTGTTTGCTTTGTTAGGAGACACGTTACATTTCTGTATGTGTGTGTGAGATGGAAGAAACAAAACTTTCAATTTAAGATGTTTCATAAAAACCTACAATTCCCTCATCTCTTGTTTTCTCACTGCCATGCCATTATCTAGAGTTGACATGTTCTGCTCTTTTCCGGAGGCACCGTATTCAGATCTGACCGTTTAGGACTCTCTGTGAAAAGAAGAAGGGAATGTTTCTGCTGTTGTTCATTATTACATGTCATTGTATGTCAATCCTCAGGAGTTTAGAATATCTGAGGCTGTTGGATTTTAAAGTAAATCCTGAAAAAAGCAGCAGTTACCAGTCTACTGAGATAGCCTGATGTTTTTGGAAGACACTGGGTAACCTTTAATTTTGGGGATATTCAGGAAATTCCCAGTACATAGGTGTTTTTTCTTGTTGCTTCTAACACGCTAAGCTTTTGTCAAGTGCACTTCAACGATTCTATGTCAGGATGCTGGTGACTCCAAGTATTTTAGGTTCAGTGAAATACTACATTGTTTTCCCCCTCTTTCAGAGAGAACTTTATTTTAATACTTTTTCCCCTGCCACTCTTAGGGAGCTGATGATGCACAAGCAGAACTGGTCTAGTGGGTTGAGGATCTCGCCAAGTTTAGTTTTAAATATTTATAGTGTAAAGGATGCCATGAACTTCAAATCAGTTTCAAATTTAAAAGGTTAAAAGTGACTTTCATTTCTAATCAAAGTATTACAAAAAATTCCAGATAATTTTTTAACCACTTATAATTTTTTTTTTTAATTATTGTTCCTATTTTTCATAAAATTTTCTTTTAGAAAGCAATTTTAGAAGGGATTTGAAAAGATTGTACCAGCTTCTGCTTCCAAAAACTCTCATTACTTAGTTCTCAGTTACAATACCAAAGCTGATGTTAACTTGACCTCCCAACTTTTAGAGAAAACATTAAGATTTTGATGCAAATTAAAATCTCCAATCTGCATGACTGGGATTTGAAGCAAGCAGCAAAACAAAAGAGGCAACATGAATAGGGACAGATATTTCCAAACCCAGATGTTGTTCCCAGAATTGCTGGGTCTGCCGTGTGGGTGTTGGGAAGGCAGTGAGAGAGCCCAGGTGGGTCTCAAGTCCTTGGGAAGAGGATTGCCATCACACAGGCAGATGACAAACTCTGAACAGTTGCGTCAGGCAATGCTGGACTGCCCCTCCATTTCCCACAAAGGCTCCGGATCTTTGGGGTTTGAATTTTTCAGATACTGGCTAGCCTGTTCTGATTATTATTTTTCTGCACTTGCTTCAATGCAGTCTCTGTTAGGAGCTTAATCCAATGTTTGTGATTTTGCTTATAATAAGTGATTGGGTTTTTATTTTTGCTATTTGTGTAACCACACACAGAATGTGAAGGCTGTCTCTGAGACTCCTGCAGTTCCCTCAGTGTCTGAAGATGAAGATGATGAAGATGATGCAGCTCCACCCCCTGTGATAGCTCCACGACCTGAACACACAAAATCTGTGAGCAGAAATACTTTCCTTCAGTCCCTGCTGCCACAGTCACAGTTGGGTCTTGACTGTGGCTCCTCATACACGCAGCATGGCATGGTGCTGAGCCCTTTTTGGGAGCAGGAGGGAGGAGGTGGGAGCCGTTCCTTCTGGCAGAGCACCTTTGTATTATCACCTGCCTAGCTGAGGGGGGGACAAGAGAGTCCTTGCTTGGTGACGTTAGCTGTTAACAAAGTAGCTACAGAAATGCATACCTGACAACAATGAGAACAGTAACAAGATGAATAGAAGCATTTAAGTGTTCATCTGATTTGTATTAATATGTATATTTTTCTCAAAAAAATTAGATATACACCCGCTCTGTGATAGACCCCCTTCCTCCTCCTACCAGAGATGTGGCGACCTCTCCTATTTCTTCTCCCTCGGAAAACAGCACAACAGTGCCTGACATGCTGGTCAGGAACACGGAGAAACAAAAGAAAAAGCCAAAAATGTCAGATGAAGAGATCTTGGAAAAATTAAGTATGTCCTTTTTTTTTTTAAAAAAAAAAAAAAAAAAATCTAGGTCCTGCTGTGTTGATTTCTCAAAATATTAATAAGCTGAAATGTTTTGGCATTCCCATTTTGAGATTCCTTACTGAAGACGTTGCATTGTGACTGTGTGCCAAAATCGGGGGCAGATGTAAGGGGGAGCGTGAATGTGAGCTGAGCACCTGTGATGCCGACTGAAGTCCCTGGGGAGTTACAGATCCTCAGGCTCTGCAAAACAAGTGCTGAATAAGTAACATCTATTTAACTATGGAGTCTGAGATTGTTCCACATCTTGATATTCTGTAGCTCTGGAGCATGGATGATTATATTGAAATGTTAGATGTAAAGTGAGCAGAGCTTCCTACTGTGTCTAAAAGATGGAGAGAAAATTAATGCATCCCCAAGTTCACCTTCCATGATACCATGATGTAAAGTGACTTAGTTATTTTTAAGTGCCCTGACATTGTGTGTGTACCCAAATTCATACTTGTTTCTGAGAAACATGTCTCTCTGTTGTGTCCTAGTGTCTTTAACAGTCCCTACCTTCAGTTCATGGGCCTTCCAAAGTGCTCCCTGCTGCCTGGTATTTTTGGGTTATGCTGTGGCATATCCAACAGCAGAACCAGCTCTTCTGTGTAACTGATTGTTATCCTCAGCCTGGGCCAGTTTTTATTAGGGTAGAGCATTTCTCATTCTTTGAACTACTAATCCTGTATTAATTACATACATGCCTTGCTTGTCAGTTGATATAAATTGTGTTAGCACCCCTATGGTCAGGCTGGTCTCCTCGGTTGAGGGTATACCCCTAAAGGTCAGTATTTTATGAAGCAAAAACTGGTAGCTAGATGAAGGAAAACCTAATCTGAGGATATAACTTCAAAAAAAAAAAAAAAAAGTTATCTGGGTACCTCATTCCTCTGAATAAAGCCTGAATTGAATTGATGGCATGTTAACTGGAACTGCTTGCTATTGGAAAACTCATACCCATTATTTCAAAACAGCAACTTCACTCACTTAATGAGCAGGACCTTTGTATAATTAAGGATTCAAGCCATTTTTGTGACCAAGCAGGGACTGTGGCAGGAAAAAGGTCCTATTCTAATACAAATACACTCACTTCTGTGATGAAGAGAAATGGAAGTGACACTCTTAAGAGTGTCGGGTGGCAGATGCGCCTTCTGACACCTTGCTTGCTCCAGCAAGTGGTGTTCAGTGCTGAACTGATTCTTTAGCATTGAGGGGTTTCGTTATAAACATATGGGCGCGTGAAGTTCAGTCGCCGCTGTTAGGTGTCAGGTTCTAGATGTGGGCTAGTCAGAAATAATGCGATGAAGTTTAATCCTGTTGTAAACTGATGTTTTTTCCACTGAGGGCAGTGGAGTTGTACTTGTGCAAAGACATGCAACCCTTTCACGTTTTGGTTTGACATGTGAATAAAATGACTAAAATCTTAAAGCATATATATATTTATACATACTGAAGATGTGCAAAGGTTAAAAGGAAGCTGATAAATCTCCACCTCTTAGCATTAACACAGCATTGGTGCAAACAGTAATGAATCCTTGCCTGACTTTTTGGGAGGTAGGAAACATTACCCCATTTTACAGATGAGAGCATTAAACAGGATAAGATTGGCACCTGCCTCTTGCCACTGCAGCACTGTCCTGTCACTGCTGTGGGGAAACACTTGCCTGTCTCGCAGTCTGAACTTGTAGCCTATGTTAGGCTTTGGGGGAAAGTTTACGAACATTTGTTCAGAAATGCATGTCCTCAGCAATGCCGATAGCATTGCTTCTGTATTTGTACAGTGGGGTTTATATAGTCAGATTTCTTTTCCTGCCCTCCTCCAAACATGGACCATATTCCCTTCCTTTACCTCTGTCTGCCCTAAACCCTGTGAGCTTGGCTGCTTTCCAGTGGTGTCTGAAAATAGCCAGCTCTTACTCTGCTTGCTACTGGATTTCTTGGCCTAATGACCGTGAGCAGTTTCTTTGCCAGTATACATCTGTTTAGGCTCAGCCCTAGACCCCTGTGAAAGCAGCACCATATGTTGGCAGCTTGAGTGACTTGCAAACACCAACTCAGATGCAGCTCTGCATCCCTTGATCCTGTTAGCCACCCCGGTGCTGTTAGAGAGGAGACTTGCTCCCAGCTGAGCTCTAGGAACTGTTGGCTCCGATTTCTTCAGCCTAAAAAGGGTGCGATTCCTGCCTGCCGTAGGGGTGTTACGAATATCACTTAATGTTTGCAAGGGAGCGTTGAGTTTCAGTGATGCTCCTTTTGTCAGCTTCTCCAGTTTACCCCTTGGCAACCCGCCATACAATTTGCAGGACTCCAGCGCATCTATGCAGCCTGCCAACCACCTGCCCTTGTGCTGAGAGCTCCCTCCCCTCATACAGAAAATGTGTTCCTCGTCCATACCAAATCCACCTTGAGCCTGAGCAGCCCCTCACCACCCTGTGTTGCAGAACACCAGGCAAAGTGCTTTTCCCTCTGAGGGATGCAGTAACACGCTTTCTTCTGGCTGAACAGCCACATTAGGGGAGAATGAGCTGAGATTGCCTCGGCTTGCTCTCCAAAACCAGAGCAATGCTGCAGTCACGTGGCAACTGCTGCTAAAACCTGCGCTGACTGTTGGGTTCCCAGAAGAGCAGCTGAGCATTGCCCAGGCCAGGCCAGGGGAGATTTGGCTCTGAAGGGTCTCTCCAGCTTCCCCCCCTGGATCTTGCAACCCAGTCATTAGATCAGTAACGGCTATGGTCCTGCCGATATGGAAACTTCTGTTCTGCAAGAAATTG